CGTTATTGAAACTGTGATAAATTGTGTGTCGTTACTGATTCATTGATACCATACCGTCATTTGAAATATGGTTATTGCTGCAGCTGTGATGATGGTGCGATTGGTGATAAATAATGATGGATGATGAACTTCTTGGTTTATAAGTTGGTTTTTAAGTTAATTTTATTGATTACGCTTTGCGCTGCTTAAAGTTACAAAGGTACCGACCATCTTGTCATGTAAAGTTTCGTATTTGGAGTTTGGAGCATTGCATTCGAAACAGGGGATCCTAATGTCAAGTACTTTAATAAAGTTACAATGCAGAATTGTGATGCTTGTTGTTGTGAATTGACGTGGTGTGAATTGGTGTGGTGTGAATTCGTGTGTTTTGAATTCGTGTGATGTGAATTGATTTGATGTGAATTGGGATGGTGTGAATTTATGTGGTGTGAATTGATGGTTTTTCTGCTTCAAAGTGAGATAAAAATTCTATTTTTGAAAAAAATGTAAAGCACTCTCAACCACTAAAAAAATTTTTCATCACCTAAATGTTCGTTTCTAAGTCACTTACGTGCATATAGTTTTTTTCATATGCTTTCTTGATAAAAAATGGAACAGCGTTTAAAAATAAATTAATAATGGAACGAATAAGTAAATAAATGAATGAATGAATAAATGAACCAAGATAAACATAAACAGGTGGAGAAATGTTTTTTTTAGTTATTTTGATCATGCATAATGCAGTACTGGAGTTTGGTATTGATGGCAATGGTTTATATCGGCCAGCCCGACGTATTGAGTTTCTATCGTGTTGTATATGTTTTTGAAATATTTCCGGTTGGCAGATTGCTTGGCATCAAAGATACGTGATCCAACAATGGAAGCCTGCTGCCAAGTCAGGAATTAGTTTTAATTAGGATTTTTAACTTCCCTTACACCACATTCAAAATTTTAATTTGTATCCCTGAAGCAACTTGTGAACTCCCAAATGACAAGCCATCTTACGAAAAATATTAATAGTTGTTTTTTGATGACAGCTGATGACATCTAACCTTTAATGTTCTAAAACAAACAATTATAGATAGGTCTCATCTTGGACAGTGCGATGGTGTAGCGGTCAAGCCTCTGGCACTGGTGTTGCAGTGACCAGATACGATTGCAAAGAGATTATCCAGAATGTTGGAGAGAATGTTGTAATACATGAATCAATCAATCAACAAAAGAATTGTATCACAGTTTCAAAATTAAGTTCTGCAGCTTCCTGCAGCGCAATGTTTTTTCTTTTTTTAACTCACAATCTTCATCTATTTATGGTAAATAGACCTAGATAAACATCCGGTACACGTGGAAAAGTTGTATCTACCAACGCATCTGCTCCGATGTTTTTTGGCCTCTGTGATTGAATGTTTTTTATTTGTATGCTAGAGCGTTTGTATAATTAAGCGTAGGAATGTTTGTATGTTTTGTTGTATGTGTGAAAGTTTGTATGTTTCGTAGTATGCATAAATGTTTGTATGTTCAGTTGTATGTAAGAATGTTTATATACCAAAATTTTTTTGTTTGAACAGGGTTGTTTGAACGTGTAAACCGTTAGTTTGTTAAATCGTTAGAACTGAAGATGTAAGTTGAAAGTTTATTTGTATGATTGACTGACGAGTGTAGCCTGCTGAAACTTTTGTCAATACTTAGAAGGCCATATTTTTGTTCCTAAGAGATTATGTTGAGTGGTCACGCGTCAACAAACGCTAAACACGACAGTCATTTAACAACTTCTCTCTGCTTCAAGTCATCAGCATCTTGCAAAACATCTTTCTAGTACAAAATTTTTATAAGCATCAGGGTAAAATTTGGAAAAATTAATTCAACTTCCTGGTTTTAAATCATTGCGAGAATCATTAAAACAAGTCGAGAACTCCACTGAAATAATAACTGCGAATTGTTACATTGCATCAATGAATATTTTTATGATGATTACACCAATAATCAATATGACGTAAAAATGGAATCCATAGCGACGGTAATAGTAATGGTTCGTTCTGGCATTAACGATTTTCTTGACATCAAGTGTCATCACGGCGACCCCGCAATGCAGATCAACATGTAAATCATCTGGTCCAGGTTGGAAATTGATTGCAAGCATCAAATATAACAACAATGAACTTTGAACTTATGCTCCGGTTTACGATTATATATGAAGTATGTGTACGTCTGTATGTGCTTCAGTATCTGTATATGTTATACATATATAAATGCGTGCATATAAATAAATATACATATATAAAAATATGTTTATTATATGTATATAAATTCTTGGACCCCTGTTATTTCATGTATAAATTAACGACATTAGCAATGTTTCTTCCTTCCTTAATTGCATATTGTACGCGGATATCTCTACATCTTCCGATGCAATGAACTTTGAGCTCCCGAGATTGGTTCTTTTGTAAAAGATTAAATATAAATGACGCATAGTCTCTATAAATGATATTGGGACCTGAAATTTTTACAAACATTGACCAGGACCTAAATCTTAAAATAAACGATACTCCTATAGCAAAAGTCCTCTCCACTAAATTTCTAGCAATTTCAATCGCCGACAATCTTTCTTGGAGTCTTCGTATACAAAATATTACTTATAAATTCTGTAACCTTTTCTACAGAATTAAATACAAATTAAACAAATTGTCCTTGATCTTGATCACCTTATGCTTTGCATTCAGTTACCATTATCTACCAAATGCGTACTTTCTTGGGGAAATAGTCAAAAACGTCATCTTTAAAATCTAATTTTGTTTTAAAAACGAATTGTCCAACTTCTTTTTCACCCTGAACTTTTTTCCCATGCTAAACCATTCTTTATTAAACATAAAATCTTTTTTATATATATTTCTGCTCAATATTTGTACTTAAATTTTCAAGTAATTTGTTTTCGAAAACATATTAAAATTTTTATACACAAAGCAATTTAATTGAGACTTACATCAAAAAACATACTCCATTTCTTTACAACTACAAAACGCGACTCAAATTAATTTCATCCAGTTTAAAACAAATTGTATATATATATATATATATATATATATATATATATATATATATGTATTTATGTATATATATATATAAATATATATATATATATATAATCACAACATTATTTATATTTATATATAATGTGTTCTTTTGTATGTTTGTATTTAAATATATAGTGTGTATGTGTGTGGTGATGTGAATTTTGTTTAACACAGGTCTGAAAAATTGTTAGTTTATTGGTTGAGGAGTGCATATAATTTCACGCATTTGCGTTCGCACACACACACACGCACAAGCATACATTATTCGTTTGTTTGTTGTGCATGTAATCTGCGCGGTGATGCGTCTTTAACTTACGACGGGACAACCCCAAGCACGTACTCGTCATCATCTTTCTGGTGCTCTACGAGTCTCTATGACTCTTATTTTCTATAAGTTTTACAAATTGTTTGAAAATGTTTCTTTTTGATGCCTCATTTGAAAAGTATGAACATATGCCGAAGATAAAGTTAGCAATGACTGTGTTTCAGTTATGACGACCGTCTGTGGTTGCATTGAAGATTGCATTGTGATTGTTATTTGGAAGTCAAAAGTTGGAGTGGAGAATCATGAAACTTCATCTTCCAACAAACGTTTGACTCTTCTTGAAAGTTTACAAACTCTCCCAAAAATGCAATAAATTTTTTTGCAAAAACACAAACAACAACAACAGCAGCAACAACAACAACAACAGCAAGGAAGGTAAGAAGAAGGAGACGGAAGACAAAAAAATCACATAAGCCTGGTGAATATGATCATAGATGAAAGTGTCCCGGCCAGACAAATTCAACATGACAGATGCAAGTAGGTAAATACCGTTCCGATTAGCTAAAAAGAAGGGGAAATGGACTAAAAAACAATGACAAACTTCAGCAGATTCAGATGCGGTCATCATATACCCCTCAGAAACTATCAGGCGAGGACAGATCTCACGGACGAAACTGTGTGGAATGGACAAATGTGTGAAAAGGGAGTCGAAACAGTGTCACACTTATGGCAGGAGAAGATGGAGAGGCACACGTGGTCTGGGGAGAGATTGGGTGATCTTTCGGAGGGGCCAATGAAAGCGGCAAGGGTGGTGTAAGCGATACTTGGAGAGCTAGATGGCCTATGACCAACTACTACTACTACTACAATAACAGCAAAAACAACAACAGCAGCAGCAGCAGTAGCAACAACAACAACAATTATGCAAATATCTTTCAACATAACATTAAAAACATAAGCTATGGATGCCATAACAAGAATTTGGTTTATCAGGCGACAGATCAGTAAACTGATGTTTACAAAACTGGACAAACTTATTTTTAACCTCATGAATATTTTATTTCAATCAATCAATCAATCAATCAATCAATCAATCAATCAATCAATCAATCAATCAATCAATCAATCAATCAATCAATCAATCAATCAATCAATCAATCAATCAATCAATCAATCAATCAATCAATCAATCAATCAATCAATCAATCAATCAATCAATCAATCAATCAATCAATCAATCAATCAATCAATCAATCAATCAATCAATCAATCAATCAATCAATCAATCAATCAATCAATCAATCAATCAATCAATCAATCAATCAATCAATCAATCAATCAATCAATCAATCAATCAATCAATCAATCAATCAATCAATCAATCAATCAATCAATCAATCAATCAATCAATCAATCAATCAATCAATCAATCAATCAATCAATCAATCAATCAATCAATCAATCAATCAATCAATCAATCAATCAATCAATCAATCAATCAATCAATCAATCAATCAATCAATCAATCAATCAATCAATCAATCAATCAATCAATCAATCAATCAATCAATCAATCAATCAACCAATCAATCAATCAATCAATCAATCAATCAATCAACTAACCAACCAACCAATCAATCAATCAATCAATCAATCAACATCAACCATTCAGTCAGTCAACTTACCAGTAAGACAACAAATATGGGAACCAATGTGATGTAATCAATCCTCCAGATCTGTTCAGGCAACCAGCAACTGCGTTCGATTGTTTGTTTTTTTGTTTGTTTTGTTGTTTGTTTTGTTTGTTTGTTTGTTTATCAGTCTGTCTGTTTTTTTTACAAACTCATCCACACGTTGTCATCAACATATAACGGATAAAACTAATTTTCAAATTTGATATAAAAACTCGTCCCTAGAATGAATATAAAGTAAAACAATTTTTTCAGAATTTCCAAAAAAATGACATGTCTTCTTGTTATGGTGCGTGTTTTTTTTTTAAATTTTATTTATTTTTTATTCTTTTCTTTTCTTTTTTTTCTTTTCTTTTTTTTCTTATTTTCTTTTCTTTTTCTTCCCAGATTTTCACGATGTTGCCACCGATCGAACAATATTTTTTCAATGTCTTTCCATCATTAACACGTTCAACGAGATTAAATTTTTTTTTTTATAAAATATTCTTAAAAAAATATTGAATGTAAAAAAACGAAATGAATAATGGAGGATACAAATGAAAAATATTGTGGTTGATGTTGTGGTTGATGTTGTGGTTGTTGTTGATGTTGTTGTTGATGTTGTGGTTGTTGTTGATGTTGTTGTTGATGTTGTTGATGTTGTTGTTGTTGATGTTGTTGTTAATGTTGTTGTTGATGTTGTTGTTCTTGATGTTGATGTTGTTGGGGATGTTGTGATGTTGTTTTGTCTTGTCCCACTTAACGGCTCTCCAGCCCCCAACGGTGCCATTGTGTGCCATGTTTCGCGATTCACAAATAATTCGATTAATTATTTTTTTTCTCTTTCATTTTCTACTTTTCTCTCTTCATTCTGGCTACCAACCGTCATTTTTGACTTCAAATCAGATTCTGTCGTTGTAGCCTGATTCTTTGAGAAAAAGTACCAAACTTTCATCTTTAGTTTCTTCACATTGAAATCGGCGGGGAATAGTCAGCTTGTCATTGCAGAATTCAAACATAGGGAGCTCCGTTGTGCGTCAAACTGGAGTGACCCGAAAAAATGTTGTATAGTATGTCGAGAGTAAAACGACACAACAGAAAAGAAACAGTTGGTAAAAAAATTTGATGACGAAAGTTAAAATCAGAGGTCGTGTCAGCTGCCTGTTGATAACAGTTGCCCGCTGACAGGTTTCTTATTTGCCTGCAACGTCATTATTGACGAAATTTCCATTGGGATGTATTGTTGGTGTTGTGACGTTGTTGTTGTTGTTGTTGTTTTGTTGTTGTTGTGTTGTTGACGATGTGTTGTTGATGTTGTGTTGTTGTTGGTGGTGGTGGCTGCTTTATTTTGTTGAGCTGTCAATGTTTTGCCTTGATCAGCAACATGCAACTTCTAGCCTTACATTGTTTTATCATTTCTATGTGAAGTTGTATTTCTGCGGCGCTATTTTGCGTGCAATGTTACATTAGTAAATTATTTTTGCTGTTTATTTGTCCGTCTGTTGCAACAAAACATTTTTACGTCTTAGCAGCTAATCTATCTATTTATTTTTTTTCATTTTTTCCTTCGCAACAATCCTGTCCTGTCATGGGTTGATGACTCGCGGCTGCAGAGAAACATTCTTCACATAATAAAATGAAACAAACCAAAAACCTCAAAATACGAAATAGCTTGTTAGTGTCAGAAACGTTTCTGAAATTTCAAATTATGAGACGTCGTTGAAGAGGTTCATCAAAGAATTTAAAAAGTCCATTAAAGTTCATAAACTTAAAAGTATTCAAATATTTAAACAGGCTCGAAAGCATCGCGAAATTTAATCAATCAACTTTACAAAACTTATGAACAATTTTTGAAAAATTAAATTATAACTAATGTGAATGCTTAAATTTAAGCTGACTGATCGTGTTTAACAAAAATATTATTACAATAATTTTGCAATAAAATTTTTATTATAAAATTATCATTTTTAATTTAACATCAAATAATCAATCACTACTCGATTTAAAAATAGCAACAACTTCACTGTGTAATTTTTTCAAAACTCATCTTTTTATTTATATCCAAATTTTTAAAACAAAAAAAAGAGTAATGATGATGAAAGGAGAGGTAGCATGTTTTGTTTGCAGCTGATGTTTGTGTCACTGAATTGTTACACTACAAGTGCTCGTGCGAAAGTTTATGAAAGAACGAATTGCGAAAATTTCTGAAAAGACCTCTCAGACTTGAGATGTTTGAAATTTTAAACAAAAAATAAACAAATATTCATCAAGCAATTGTTTGCAAATCTGTTAAAAACTCTCTATGAGAATTGATGCATTAGCCAAAAATATTTCTTCACGTAATGCTAACGCTAATCTTTATCAAAATATTCTGTCAGCGAAACATTGGTTATTAATTACACATTGAATTTGCATTCAGAAATGGAAAACAAACCGATCCGTCAGGGAGTATATGGCGCCGTCATCGTAGCCCTGGTTTGAATTTCCTCCATCAACAGCCCCGCCATCATCATCGACCATTTGAAGACTTGTGAAACTGATGTAGCTACTTGTGCTGCTACTGCTGCTACTGCTAATACCACCACTAAAATTACTGCTACCATCGTTACTAACATCACTACTGTTATAGCCCCCAGTACCAAAACTTCTACCACTACCATCACCACCACTGCTGTCAACTGTGAAGATGGTTTTGGCAGCGGACCAAAGAGCAACAACAGCTGCTGGGATGCCTGCGTGGATGATGACGTAATGATGACGTTAGAATGATGATCACGAGGGAGTCAATCGTTTCATGCGCGTGTCGAGTTGCTAGTGGCTGTTTCGAAATATTAAATTGCAAATTTACATCTGCGCATTTGCACATGAGAGTGAGTAAACGATTAGTTGAACATTTAATCAGTCATTTAATCTTTTCAATCTTGATGTAATGTGACGATGATATAATGTGATGAAGTTATAATTTAATGATGATTTGATGTAATGATGATTTGATGTAATGATGATTTGATGTAAGGATGATTTGATGTAATGATGATTTGATATAAAGATGATTTGAAGTAATGATGATTTGATGTAATGATGATTTGATGTAATGATGATTTGATGTAATGATGATTTGATGTAATGATGATTTGATGTAATGATGATTTGATGTAAGGATGATTTGATGTAATGATGATTTGATATAAAGATGATTTGAAGTAATGATGATTTGATGTAATGATGATTTGATGTAATGATGATTTGATGTAATGATGATTTGATGTAATGATGATTTGATGTAATGATGATTTGATGTAATGATGATTTGATGTAAGGATGATTTGATGTAATGATGATTTGATATAAAGATGATTTGATGTAATGATGATTTGATGTAATGATGATTTGATGTAATGATGATTTGATGTAATGATGATTTGATGTAATGATGATTTGATGTAATGATGATTTGATGTAATGATGATTTGATGTAATGATGATTTGATGTAATGATGATTTGATGTAATGATGATTTGATGTAATGATGATTTGATGTAGTGACGATATAATGTGAGGATGACATAATGTTAGTGATACAAAGGTAATGATGATGACATGAACAATATTCTGACATGAAAATAACAAAAATGACATTAACAACAGAAACATGAAGGTAACGACGATGACATCAACATCATCAAACTTGAAGATGGTAACGATGGTAATGAATGTAATGACGACGAAGACAGATTAGCAATGCAGCAGTTTTTGTGGTTGGTTGCAGGCATAATAATAATAATGAACAATCTTGATGGGAGACCTGGAACGCTCGTACGTCATACACTGAAAAATTCAACAAGAAGAATTTTCTACAAATGTTTCATGCATTAAATCAATTTGTTTTTATCGTCTCTTTTGACCTTTTGTTCATTTTTATTTTGTTTTGTATTTTTTTTTTAAATTCATCTTTTCGATTTGTTATTTTTCGTGTCGTTAACTTCCTGGTTAGATCACTTCCGTTCTGTTGCTCGTGCGTTCCAAATCTGTCCGCGTTTGTTGGCTCTCTGAAGTTGCTTGTATCTTCATGTTATTAAATGTTAGGGTAGGAGTAATTAGTTTGCCTTCGTACAATTCTCAAACAGTAGAAAACTCACACGCGCACACGCTCACATGCAAGTTTGCAGGCAACAACTGCGCGCTAACAAATGTTTCACATGGCCGCTAAACATAGAAACTTCTACTGCAAATAACTCACAAGAATTTCAACACGAGTCTTCAAAATAAATTGAAACAAAAATAGCCAATTCAGAGATGAAGTTTCAAAATGTCCAACGGTCTTCGCAATAAATTTTCCAAGTTTTATTTTAGTTAAAAAAAAACAATTTAATAGTTTTTTTTTTATATATAATTTCAAGTTTCCACTGAAACTCAGAAATCTGACCCACCCCAGCCAATGAGGCAGTAGTGCCAGAACTTGAGTTGTTGGAGCAGAAGGGTCCAGACGATCATGGTGTGTAGGTAGAGGCCCTCCACCAACATCCAGAAGAAACTCGCTTGCTGTAGGTAGTTGTACGTTGTCACCAGGATCTTGCACGTTATCTGCGTGTGTTGGGTGTGTTCGTTTGTGTATGTGTTTGTTGTGTATGTGTTTGTTGTGTATGCGTTTGTTTGTGTATGTGTTTGTTGTGTATGTGTTTGTTGTGTATGTTTGTGTGTGCGCCTGTATGAATGTTCTGTGTGAATATTATATGTTTGCGATTGTTATTAATTAATTAATTAATAGTGATCGTTATAAATAAATGACTGACCGACTGAATAAATAAATAAATGATTGAATTAATGTATTAATGAATAAACGAAAAAACAAATGGATGGTGTATGAACGATCGAACAGATGAACGAATGGAAGGATGACTAACAAAGGCAGCGTGGTTTCCAGCGTGCAGGAGTTGGAAGAAAGAGAATCTCATGAGGATCCAGAAGATGTTCTTCAGCACGAACGCCGCTATCAACTGCACGTGGATACGATTCCGCAGACATTTCAGACATCTGTTGGCAAGTTAGTGTTGTTGCTGTCGTTACTGTTGTGTTACTGTGGTGTTGTTGTTGTTGTCTTGTTGTTGTAATGTTGTGGTTGTGTTGTTGCTGTGGTTGTTGTTGTTGTCTTGTTGTTGTAACTTTGTTGTGTTGATTTTTGTTGATGTGATGATATGACGATGGTGAATTGTGTTGCAATGTTGTGAGTGCGTTGTGTTGTGGCGAAATGATATTGTGGATGTGTCTTTTGTGATGTTGTTCTGCGGTGATGAAAATGAAAACATCATAAAAGATAACGTTGCCAGGATTCTCTGATGACGAATTGCAGACCAAATAGAAATTCATCTTCTTCGCGCCGAAAAAAAATTTCTTTCCTCTTGATGTTATTTTGGTTCATGAAATTTATTTCAACAAAAATAGACCGCCTCATGATTTATTACAGACTGAATCTGATCATCTCCTAATTATAAACATACACACGCGTACCAACACTCTTCTGTATGGACTATTTTAATTAAAAATTTCTCACATTTCCATTTTTTTTTTGAGGGAATATTTTTTTTTTACAACCAAAACTTATTAGCTATCATCTGATCATATATCAAATGCTCACGGACGAAGATATACAATTTGTGTGTGTGTTTTTTATTAATTCATTCCTTCAATTATTCCCTCATTCATTCAGTATTTTATTCATTCAATCAATTATTCCTTCACTAATTAATTAATTCATTCACTCACTCACTTATTCATTCATTCAACTATCTATCAATCCATTCAATCATTCATTCATTCAATCATTCGTTCGTTCGTTCGTTCATTCATTTTTTCATTTATTCATTTATTCATTTATTCATTTATTCATTCATTCGTTTGTTCGTTCGTTCGTTCGTTCATTCATTTTTTTCATTTATTCATTCATTCATTCGTTCGTTCGTTCGTTCGTTCGTTCGTTCGTTCATTTTTTTCATTTATTCATTCATTCGTTCGTTCGTTCGTTCGTTCGTTCGTTCGTTCGTTCATTCATTCATTCATTCATTAATTCATTCATTCATTCATAAGAACATCTAAAAGGACGACAGACTTGCAGTAGATGAAGATGAAGAGGGCGATGGACATGGCGACGATGGAGGCACTGAAGCCCACCGTGTAGATGATGAGCACCCCGTTCCCTGGATGCACCGGGTTGTTGATCTCCTGTCGGGTGATGGTGGTGGTGGTGGTGGTGATGATAGTGACGATGACGCAATAGTAAAATGAGTGAGTCAGGAGTGAGGCATGATGATGATTAGGAGGAGGGTGGTGATGATGATGATGATTAAAATGATGATGAAGATGATGATGATGATGATTGATGGTGGGTTGTATAATGTTGATACGATAAATCTTCCTCAATGGTAATACATTCCTGTGTGATGGTTCTTCAAATGAACTCCATCAATTAAGGTCCTGCTAATTAACTTCGTATTTAATAAAGCAAGGCTTTTTGATTCGTCAAAAATGTTTCCAACTGGATCCATAAACTCTCAACAACAAAAAATCTTCACGTACATTCACAGCAAAATTAAAACCATCATGGAATATCTGACGGCGTAGAGCGAAAGTGTTCGATGGGAAGATGAAATAGTCTGGTGTTTGTGACTCTCGTGATGACGTCTGAGTTGGCACGTGACAATTCCCGCGCATTTCAGTCAATCATGCGTTCAATGTTTGTTAGTAAAGTTAGTTGCTTAGAAGTCGTTGTAAGTGTAGAGAAATAGAAGGAAGTCGATGAAGTACGTCTGTTGTGTTGAAGTGTTCATAACTTCATGCGAACTTTTTATGAGCAGTCTCATTTATTGATAGTTAGGTATTTCATATATGAAAAGTTTTCAATGCATGGAGATTGAGGTCTAGCTACACGTGGTCTAGCTACATGTCGTCTAGCAACATGTGGTCTAGCTACATGTCGTCTCGCTACATATGGCTTCTAATGTTTATGTCCATGCACTCTGGGAGAAAAATGACAGATTTGTACTATTCCCACAATAACTTTTCCCTACTCTTACTTATTAAAATGGCAAGTTTAATTGTGCAGATCGTAAAATTGTGATCAATCATTATACAGGCGCATAATTCTATGCGCGTATCAACATTCATGAAAGTTCCTCATACTGCTCTCCCCTGCTCTCCCCTCCAATTTAGTGCAGCTTAAGTTAAGTGTCTGATGCTACTGCTTAAAATATTTTGCATGACGAGGTTTCCTTTGCATTCGAGCCTGGTCGCGCCAGCAGCAGCAACATCAGCAGCAGCAACGGACGCCTCAACCATCGCACCATTATTTCTACAGCTAACATTCGGCACGACTTTTGTAACAATCGTTATTGTTGGTAACTTTTAATCATCAATGCTTGAAGATACCACCGACGCATGCACAGAGCACGCGCGGAGAAGTGCCTGAATCTACGCCTCACACCCAACGCACTTGAAATGCTTCGCATTGAATCCAATCACAGCAACAAACAGCAGAAGCAGACGCCTCAACCAACACAGCCACTTGTCGCTGTGGTGTCTGCACTTGTCTATATGACGTGTTTTGTTCATCGTTCACCCATTGTTCGTCGTCAAATTTTTTATAGGACATTTATCATTAACTTTTTCAACACTCACAATGTTCACCATTTACATCGTCATCATCATCCTCATCATCATCATCATCATCATCATCTTTATTTCAACTAAAAAACAATCAGTATCGTTATCATATTGTCGAGGTCATCATCATCGTCATTGTCGTCATAATAATAATAATTTGTATTATTATTATTGCTATTAAATATTCATTAATTTTTTTCTTAGTTTGTGTGTTTATTTATTTATTTGGTACAATCTGTCCTTTATTAATTTCCTAGTAAAGTGTGTGTGCACGTGCGTCTTGTTGGTAATGCAGGAATAATAAGTTTAGTAACCAACCATGCAAGCCTCCGCATCTAATAAGATTTGAAAACTTGTCCTTACTGTACTTGTATACTGCAATTGTATGCCTGCCTGTGTGTGTGTGTGTGTGTGTGTGGTGTGTGTGGTGTGTGTGTTGATTTTTTAAACTATTTCAGCATGCCTAAATGGTTTCCATCATTTCAAAATCTTTGTAAAGATAATTTCACACCTTTTAAAGTTTTTGATACGTCGCTAGCTGCTACCAACAAATAGTGCACAATTTCAAGACGACAATGCTAATTGTTTCATTTTTTTTTGCGTGGAGAAGGCGCGTAGATGGTAACAGAATGCTGATAAGGTTGCTTGCTACCTGGTGACATCAAAGGACTCCGACAACATGTTCGAAATCATTAAAAATCATCGAGTTTTTGAAGTCGCAATAGTGTGTGCGATGTTTTCAAGAGGTACTGCCAGGTTAGAGATTCTGTTGATTTACAGTACAATTTCTGAGTGAAATTCTTGAGAAATGAACCAATACCCGCAAAAACCTTTCCTAACTGAAGGTAGCGACGAATTGTAACTTGCTATTCAATCTAATTAAGAATATTCGCCACCCACGAACCATCTCTGAAGTTTGATGAATTTAATTTTCAAATGGTACAAATATGATGCCAACTTTAATTAAATTTTTTTAAAGCTCCAATCTTCCTTAGTAACCCACGCCAAACCAGATTTTCACTCAACGATGAAATTTTTTAGAAAAACATTTCTGCACTCCATTTTTTTAGCAAAAATTTAAAAAAAGGCGAAGGCCGGCATGACGTCATGCCTGTGACGTAACCTGCTTACGGTTTTCATGTCTACTTTTTCCATCTACGCAAACATACACACACATGAATATCAACACATATACACACACAAACACACACACATAAATATGAACACATATACACACACAAACACACACACATAAATATGGACACATATACACACACAAACACACACACACATAAATATGAACACATATACACACACAAACACACACACAGATGGACCAGAGCACACAAACACAGACAAGGACAAACACATACACACAAACAACAAACACACACACAGACACACACAATAATTACAATTTATCATCATTAAAATCCAGACATTAAAAGGTATTGCTCAAATGCTCATGAACTCTCAAAACAGTAATAATAAAGTTTCATTATATAAAATCTTTCGAATAAAGTTTAAACGTTTCAATGACAATCCAACTAAGAAAGTGTTTGTAGTAGTTATGATGATGATGATGACGACGATGATGATGACGATGATGATGACGATGATGGTGATGATGTTAATTATACTGATGTGACAAAGTTGTTAAGTGGTTGATGAATCAAAGCAAAATAAACATTTGTGGAAGCATCCTTAGAAGCCTTCTTCAAGCTCCACTCATTTCCTGTAAGCATTTACACCGAAGAAAACAATTCTGAATAAAACGTTATTTTCCTTTCAATTTAAGCTTTAAATTTTCCCAAACTTTTACAATGCAAAATATAAACATTGAAATTAATGCTGCCGATAAACTGTCA